TAAACATTTTTCTTAAAAGTAAATGCATAGGTATTTGACACATTTTTATGCTTTTTTTTTTAAAGATTCTACTAGAGGGAATCTACATAATGTAGGGTGGTGATTACAATTATCAAACTTGAGGGGAGATTTGGTAATAAAAGATTCTACATACCCAGGGTTAACTGATCGGTGCACAAATTTCTTAAACAATATACTTAGTTGGATCTCACTAAGCTAATCAACAATGGACAATGGTGGCCTAATGTCTGTATTCAAGCATAATCATAGCAAAGCGTGTTAAAGATTTTTTTTTTTAATTTTCCCGAAAAAAAAGGCATAAGGCTAATTCATTCAACTTAAATAAGTGGGGAGAATAAAACCAGCACTATCAATATTTAACTTCACCTAGGGATGGAAGTTTCTGCCCTACCTGGTGGGTACTTGTCCCTACTTGCCTTGATGGTGCAGAATTTTTTTTTTTTTTTTTGCTTGAAGGATGGGTTTTGAGATTCTACAATCTGTATGGGCACAGGTAGAGTACACTATTAAGCAAAATCCAACCCTCCCCACCCACATATTGTTGGAAAGTGTTAAGTCCTTAAGCTTACTGGACTGGTTGTAACTAGATTCGACCCAGTGGACATGACAACTTACTTAAGTGGGTTAAGGTCCATTACTTAATGTAACTAGTCTAACTAGTTAATGGGCTAAGGCACATTACTTAAGTGGTTAATTGTCAGAATTGTTGTAAGCCTTATTGGGCTTGAACAATATTTGGCATAGGACCCACAAAGGTCTTATATCTATCCATATGGATTCAGCCCATGCTAGGAAGCACATGGGTCAAATTTATTGAGTAAATTTAGTAAACCCCTGAGCTAATCAAATTGGATTTAATATGGGCCCAACATTGAGGTCTAAGTAATCCTTAAATTCAACCACCCTGTGAATTCCAAGGATAATGGATTAACATAAGAAAAACCCAAAAGGTTTTAGACCTTTAATGTTCTTTTGGTCTTAACCGTTCAGCCCAAAATGATTAAACACTGTTCATAGGAAATGACTTTTTTCTTTGACTACTAAGTACAGTGTCACACCCTTTGCTCAAATTGATTTTGGAATTAAAATCTTTTTTAAACAGTTTTTGTAAAATAACATATTATATATAAATACATTTTGCAATTTGATCTTAAAAACAAATTGAAATCCACAACCCACAATATTAGCTTTCCATCAAAGAGAATGTTAACCTTGATATTCTCTTTGTCTAATAAAAGGGATTATCCTATTATAACGATCACCCACTCAAGTAGTATTTTGAACTGCTTCAAATAAATAAATTGGAGTTCTTCATACAATCTTTCAAGCACAAAGTAACTAAACCTTCCTTGAGGTTCCAATGCTCTCTCATGCAGTAGAGAGAAAATTTCCAAGGCATTCAGGAAAACGAAATGCATTAAAATGATACAACAAAAAGGGAATAAAAAGTATTCAAAACAAAATATTATTAGTAACATCAAGTATAGCAATTGTTGTCACACCAATAGAAGTATATTATGAGTTGGAACTATTTTGTATGTAAATTTGATAATTTATATCTATAAATTAAGCTCTATTTTCTCTCCGAAGTTCTCTTACTCAGCTTTATTTTGGGCAGCCTTCTTACACACAAGTGACATAACTATGAAGGTAAGGATAATAGAGTCATGGATAAATAATATATTATGGAGAAAATACAAATGATTGCATTTCAAATAATAATATCTAAGTATTTTCTTCTTTTACACATTAGACTTAATGGATATTTACTCATACTTTGTTTTAGAAATGTCCATGAAAGCATCAAAAGCTAATCAAACATGACAAAATTTCTAAAGGAAAAAAGAACAAAATTAGGAATTGCACCTGAAAAAGCATAGGGCACAATAGTACTCACTCTCAGATAAGAAGGTTGGATCTTATACATGCCTTTAAACTTTATTTGGGCTTCTTCATAGCTTACATAGGTATTTCTTATGCAAGGGATGGAAGGAGGAGAAGAAAATTTATCTGGTCAAATTGGAATAATAAGGTGTGTAAGCCAAAAAGGAGTGGAGGATTGGAGTCAAGGGGATTGAAGAATGTGAATAAAGATCTTCTAAGAAAATGGTTTTGGAGGTTTGTTGAAAAGGAGGATAAACAATGAAAGAAGGTAATTCAGGATAAGTATAATGTGAGAAATATGGGTTAGGACTTGGGAGACTGGAGCTGCTTTTCAAACATATGCTGTGTTCGGGTGATGGTTGAGCTGGCTAAGGATGCAACATGGCAATCTTCGCGGCCGCCCCCCTTTTAAGTCAACGCCCCGTGTAATGGAAGAGCACGACTAAGAAAGAGTGTCTTGCATGAACATGGAAGCGAACCCTGTCGGGGAAAAGGAACCTCCCGAAGGCCTCGACGGATGCCCTTATCTCGACAACCCCAAAAGCCCTATCCATTTAGGACACGAACACTCAAATATAAATAGGTATTCCTCACTTGAGGTAAAGGACTTTTAGAACTGCACTCTTTGAATACATTTTGCCGCTATCTCTTCGGTCCAGACCAACGTTATTTCAACATGCTCTGTTCGGCCACATCCTTCTTGATCCTACTAACTTGAGCGTTGGAGTATTTACCCGAGGAATAACTCCTCGGGCTTCTGACCTTTCTCCTGGTTGCACCTCTCATTGCGCGGCTTCATCATTTCACCTTGGCTTCGTCTAATTGGTAAGACTATTTAATTGTGTCTTCAGTTTGGAATACCTCGGATTGGACAGCATCATGCTACTCCATTTAGAAATAAATAAAACAGATATATAACCTATTTAGTAAAGGCTTGAGGGAGGTTTGATGTAGGGAATTGATGGGAAAAAGGTAAGAATCTGGAGGGATTGTTGGTGTGGTGCAAGTCCCATGAAGGATTTGTTTGAAATGGCAATGAAGAAGTAAGAGTAGCTGACTACATGTATAGAAACCTTAGTATAGAAGGAATTAATGTTAATGGTTGGGAATTAGATCCTATGACAGAAATGTTGTTGCTCCTTTACGGCAGCCAGGTTGATAGAGCACACAAATGAGTGTGGGCTTGGGAAAGGATTGATAAATTTTTAAAGAAAATATCAGGAAAAGTGCTCTCTTGGCTTGCTAATCATAAAATTTAAAAAAAAAAATAGTTAAAGTAATTTCTTGTACATGACACTCTTTTTCCGTTATTACTGGGGTTTATTTATATTAATGAAATACTTCATTCTGCCTTTTCTCAAAAAAAAAACAAAATTTATATTTGTCTTTTATTATATATTAATTTTCTTTAGAACTTGTTTATCTTTTGGATTTTGAGAGATAAAAAATTGGTCAATAGAATTTTGATTTCTATTCCTTGAGATACCTATATTTTTTTATTTCAATTTTTATATGCGATCCACAGAAAATTGGAAACATATCATCAAACTTGCATAATCATAATTCATAAGCTCTCTGTGGTAAGGCCAATGGAAAGATGGTTGTGGGTTGGGTTAAGTGGTAAATACACATATTGGATTAGGGTCGGATCAGCCTTAATCGGGTTTTGAGATGGATGGGCCAACTTTTGTCTTGTTCCCGCATTTGGCTCTAGAATGATTGTGCAACTATACCAGTTTTGTTGCCATGTAACATGGATGCACACGCACTAGTGAGTTGCCATATTAGAAGGATCCCTACGTAAGCCCAAACAATTTACTAGACGGCCCATTAGAAAAAAAAAAAAAACACTTTTAATGGACAAGTTCTAATTGAAACTCTGAAGGGGCCAACATTAGTTGGCTAAGCTAGCATGATAAATTGGGGAATGCCCATGGGGCAAGTTACGTGATTTTGCAAATGACCAAACTAACCCTTCAAGATTAAACTCTTTTAAACTTGGACAAGGGCTAAGAAGTCATTGAATCATGCTATCATTTAGTAGTAGAATCTTACTTTTAGTTGGGCTTGGGCGCGCACTCAATGGCCGTCTTGCCACATAGGACCGCTGGACAAGTGGCAAGTTATGAGGGCGCAAAGCCGCAAACCCATGTACATGTCTCTAGGCACAAGAGCACAAGACACTCCCTTCGCGCTGTAGGGAGTGTAGTACCCATGACAGAGTCAAGCTTGATCTAGGAGTGCTGATTTTTTATATTCCCTTTTAACGTAGGCACTAGGCAGCATCGTGCGTGGGTCCTATTGATGGTTCCTCGCTTTCAGCATACGTGTGGCTATATCAGCTGACATGTAAGCCTCACCTTTGTAACCTTTCTCAGCTGGAAAAAAATTTCACTTCCCACAAATGCATTCTGGGCATGATTGATTGCAATCCAAAGGGCAAAAGGCTATTCTCATGATCTCATCCCGAGAATTGCGAGAAAAGGAAGAATCACTTATCCGGATGGATGTCAAACAGGGCATAAGTATATGAATGGAGACCAGATTAGCTACTAGCCTACTAATTGCAGTGGCTGTATAATCAATAATAACGCCTCACGCCAGTCATAAAATTTAATATAGGAGATGATGAATGTGGTAATTTCTTTGCATTTCCATTATAATAACCATTTGTGTTGTGGTTGTGGTCTTCTTTCTCCTCAAAATAGAAGAGTATTGCTAGCATAGGGTTCCTCAGTAGATGGAGATACATACAGTGCTAATTGTCAATGGATAATATGTTCTTTACAAAGTCAAAGAAACCTATCAGATAATCAAAATTTGGGAAACCAGAGTATGGTCCCAAGAAGGGCAAGTTGAAGAGAGGTCCCAAGAGCTCTACACTCTACAGACATTAATCCAATGTATGAACATAAAACCCATGTGTACCTTTTGTAATTCTGTGTGCCACAAGGAGATACTGATACTACCATCATTTTTGTTCTTGTATCAATCAGGGCTCAGGGGTGGACGAATAGTCAACAACTTACATGAATTCATATAATGAACAGTTGAAAAATGAAGAGAGAGAGAGAGAGAGAGAGAGTGTTCAAAAATTCAAATTTCAAACTCTGAATCCTAAGGTCTAATTTTCTTTTATTTTACTTACCATAACACAAGTAAACAGTTCTTGTTGGTCAAAATTTATACATGAAGCTGTAGACCAAGTCCCTAAATCAAAAATTAAAAGGAAAAAAACAAAGGAAAAGAGGAAGACAGAGCCACAGAGGTGAGAGAGATTAGTAACAGAGGAATCAGCGATTGATTATTCATCATTCTTCAGTAAGATACTCTAAAGCCTATCTCCACCTTCAAATACAATCTTATTACTGGATTGAATTGAAGTGAAGAAGGGTTTGATTGATGTTTAGGAAAGAGATACAAGGCATCCACCAGCCTTCATCATCATCTTCTTAAACTCTTCAAAATTAACCATACCATCTCCATCCATATCAACCGACCTGATCATCTCCTTACAGTCCTCACTCTTCCACCCTTGCTTCAACCCCAGAGATTCCAAAACCAGACTCAATTCCTCCACTGTAATCAACCCATCTTTGTTCCCATCAAAAACATCAAACGCCTCCTTCAATTCCATTTCTTGGTCCACACCTCCATCCTCTTCCTCTGTACTACCCTCCTCACCATCTTTCCTTCCTCTATCCTGTGGCTTCCCCACCGAATCATACAGCTTACAGAACTCGTCAAGATCTATTAGCCCATCCTTGTTAGCATCCAGTCTCTCAATCATGTCTTTCACTTCTGCGTCAGTAGTAGAAATCCCAATATTCTTCAACGACTCTGTGAGCTCTTCCTTGTTAATAAAGCCATCGCTATTCTTGTCAAAAGTGGCGAAGATATTTCTGAGCTCGGCCCTGTCGTGGGCACTCTCCTTCTTCTTATCAGAAGCCATGACCGTTACAGATGCAGGTGGAGTGATCGAAGTACAACTTCTTGAAATTGGAGGAAAAGATTGAATCCAAGTAATCACTTTCTTTGGAGGGAGAAAGAAAACAGAGTTGATGAGGCCGCAGACGAAGAGAACCGCTAATAATACCAAGGCCATCATCTTCTGTTCACCATAAAACCAGAAACGAAGACAAATTTGATTTTTAGTACTGAAATCGTCTGGTGATCTGGTCAGTCTTCAAATTAACGCGGCTTTTTCTGAGCCCACAAAGCACAAACCGCGTAGAATGGATTTACCTCCCAAACACGACAACTCAAGGTTCCCCACTTTGGTGGGGCCATCGCTAATTCATGGGCTTTGTCAAAAAAGATCAACCCAACCACCACCGTTGGATGAGAGAGAGAGAGAGAGAAAGAGTGGTTGTTGAGACAGTTGACTTGTTGGAGAGTGGAAAACGGAATTCAATTCAAGAGTAAGTAGGGGCGTGTGGATTTGCAAATGCACAGGATGTCTTGTTGGATCAAAACAAAAGGTTTTTGGGTGTTTCAAATTCGATACATGGATTTCCAGTAACAAGAGGGGATGGATTTCATCATCTAAGCTTGTAAAAGCAACACGTTTTCTCTGAAAAAGGTGGAGATTGCAACTGAAAAAAGAGGAAGGAAATCTGATTCTGTCATGCATGTGACCCAACAGTTTTGAAAAGGGACGTGGTCCACTCACGGCTCCACAGAATAGGAAGATTCTATCGTAAAGTATCACCAAATACCTTTCTTAAGAGAGAGAAAAGTACAAAAAAGAAAAAAAAAGGGGGTTTATTCATATTCGTTCATTAATTAATTTCTAAGTTGTGCCTCATATTTTGAATGTCTGTGTAAAGATTCCTTAGTCTGGCCCAAGCCCAAGAAGCCCCTCTCATTTTCTTTCTAATTGTTCTTTTAGAAACTTCTGCCTTCTTCAACCACACTCCAAACTCCACGTCTACAAAGTACAAATTCCATTGTTTGGCAGTTTGGGTGGTCAATATCTAGAAGAAGAACGAATTGGAAAGAATGAGAAAGATTAGGAAATGAATATAAAAGGTAAGAGAGCACCCAATGTATGACCAAGCTGACTTTCTGATGCAGTCTTGATCTCACAACATTGAATGGGATATGATAGCCCACCATTTTAGATTGCTTCCAAAATTTTGATTGTGGATTCCAAGATCAGTTTATTTTGATCTTTGATTTTTGAGGGTTTGAGGTCCATTATTGTGCATATCTCCTCACATGTGTGCCAGTTTGGTCAGTTGGTAGGGTCTCTGATTGATTGAAGTTAAGGGTGTCAATGGACCGGTTCTGGATTGGACCCGCTTAATTAAAAATCAATTTAGATGGATTGGATGGACCAATAAGGTATATTGAATTGAACTAATATGGTCCAAAATATTTATTAGATTGGATTGAACCTAGTTCATCCGTAATAAATTTATATTAGATTGGGTTAGATTAAGCTAATATCTGGTCCATTAATATAAGATAAGAATATAGGTGTCAATGGATCGAGTTTGTGTTAAAACCAATCTAAATCAAAATGAATTTGAACAGATTGAATGGTCCAGACATTAAATTAGACCGATTCAAATTAATCCAAAATATTTATTGGATTGAGTTGCACCTGATCCATTTATAATGGATTCACATTAGATTGGATTGAACCAAATCCAATCCAATTGGCACCCTTAATAGTAGTGAAAACTCTGGAATCAAATGGGCTCGTCACACCCCACAACAGCACAGCGGTGCATGCAAAGTAAGAGATAGAGTGGACTTGGATATATATTTTATGGCTGATGTGGAACATTATTATTGATTAAAGAAGAGATAGAATGGTTATTGGACATGGGCATATACATTTAATGGCTGACGTGGGACATTATTATTGATTACACAATTTCAAACCTTCAGCTAATCCTGGCTGAATGAGAAGAATCCCAAAAATAAAGAATGGGTCCAGACCATGGGAGACACAGAATTTGTCAATATTTGGAGGGGACAGCGGACAGGCACGATACAGAAAACTTTCCGACATATTTTATGTTAAATGCTAGTGGGCAGCTCCACGCCTTGCAAAGTACTACAACTTGGACGAGAAAACAGCTATGCCCACGGGAGTGGGCTTAGGCTAAAATCGTGAAATCGTGGCCTTAGATGCATTACTGTGGTATCAATTTACCATACTTCGAGACCCAATCAGCTCCCCACAAGACTGTACCCTCACAATTTCTCACACCGCATTCCTACCGTGTATTGGTAATATCTCCCAATGACGATATCATTATTTCTAGTATTATCATCTGGAGATATTTTTAATACACGGCGGGGATGTGCTGTGAGATATCGTGGGGGTAGTCTCTTGTAGGGGGCTGATTTAAACTTAACTTGAGATTAGGGGTAGATTCGAGCCGAGTCGAATAGTATCAATATCGAGCTAAGCTCGAATTCGGTTCGAGTAAAAAATTCATAAATTCGAGTTCGATTTTAAGAAAAAATATTTTATAAAAATAAAAAATATATAAAAATATTTTTTATTTAATATTTTAAAAAATAAGAATTATAATAATTAATAATTATAATACCACATCCCCACTCCCCACTCCCCACTGTGTATTAAGAACATCTCCCAATGATAAATGACATCATCATTCCTGGAACGTTGTAGGAGGCAGTCTTGTGGGGGCTAATTTGTAATCATAGAACTTATCAAAATTCTAAGCTCTTATTAAAAGATAAATAGCAACTTTCAAATGCCTCCTACTCTTCCTTGTGGTTGACCGTTGGGCTGCACCTTGGAACTTATGCAGCCCTTGTAGACCGCCATTTGACTTCTATATTTGAACAATATTCTTTTCTTTTTTTTTTCTTGTTTCTTTTTTTCTCATGTAATTGTTTTAAAATGTCGAAAAGAAAAATAACTAATCTTTGAAACAAGGAAAAGGATAAAAAGTAAAAAAAAAAAAATCTTCTTTGAGTCAAGGTTTTTAAAACCGACCTCGAGAACAAACCTGTTAGGGTTTGGTTCTTGGGTTGAATGGTCCTACTGTTCGAATTGAACGGTCGGTCTGTTCTGACACAAAATAAAAAACAGCCATAAAACGTTCAAACAGTTAACCGCCTGGGTCAGTGGTTTGCTGATCAAAATTAACGGTTTGGTTTGTTCTGACACAAAAAAAATAAAAAACAGCCATAAAACGTTCAAACAGTTAACCGCCCAGGTCAGTGGTTTGCTGATAAAAAATCAACGGTTTTTGAAAAAAAATCTGGTTTTTTGGAAAAACAGAACCGGTCCCCAGTTTTTCCGGTCCAGTCTGATTTTAAAAACGATGCTTTGAATTCAAGTAACTATTGCCATGTGGCCTATTTCAAAACGTATCCCGTACTTTGAGCTAGTCTCACTTTAATATCCAAATTTCAAAATGTACCACTACAGTACTTGAGCTCCCGAAAATTGTTAATTTAAATACATATCATGAGCAGTGACGACATGTGCAAATTAAATTTTCTAAGAATGCCAAAACTACCCCATTTAATTATCTTAAGATACAATGATGATGGTCTAAATCCCTCTTTAGCTTATTCGATATGAAACACGGGTTGTTCGACATAAAAGGTTAGGGCAAAAAAGTGAACAGTGGTGCCCAATCACAATGAAAAGGAATTTAAACATAGTTATTAGGACCATTTTAAAATTATGCTTCTATCATCTATTCAAAACTTGAAGGGTATTAATATGCTATCATATATCATCTAACATCGTTAATGATGTTGGACTAAAGTAGTAGCTTTCGAAGTTCAGATATATATATATATATATATATATATAATGACACATTTTGAAATTCGGGTAGTAAAGTAAAATTAACTCGAAAGTACACAAGATTCATCTGCAATTTACCCAATCTTTGAAAAACTTCTCTAACTTTTTCTACAGGAATGCATAGAATGTTGTCTTAAACTATGGTAGCAGTTAAAAGGGCACCTTTCTGAAGGTAAACGCTGCGGAAAATTGTTTTTCATAGTAAATGATTCCTTCTAGGTTATAGCACAGAGAGTATAAATACAAATTGTAGACAAATGGTCTACATGTGACATGTGTGGAAACTTTTTTGGGCTGAAATCTACCTGAAAATACAGAAATCATACATGAATTCATGTTCAACTCCTCTTGGGCCCAGAAAGATTCTTGGGTCATTTATTAAAAGAACCATTTCCTCTGGCTGTGGGGTTGGGGTTGTCCATTCTTAGCCCTACACCCGACCTTTGCCTTGGAAGTTTTCAATTTGTAAGGCCAACATGAACAGTCCCGATTTTATTTTTCAATTCCAGAAAAAAAAAAAGCCCAAAATAAGGGGTTATTCCTCATATGTTGCAATATTTCTTGACATTAATTAAGGTTATTCCCTGAAAGGGTAGGCGAGGAGTTATACAACGCGGGGGTAGTTCAGCCCAAAAAGTCATTTTTACAAATATTCAACAAATCCAAAGGGAGAAAAGAAATGCAAATGAGAGAGGATCAGCAAAAGAGTTTTATGTGCTAACTAATCAGCCGTCTGATTCGCTTCTCTGAAGGAATGGGCGTACATAATAAACCCATGATTCAGATTATCCACTAATCTCGAGCACTCTTTGATGATGTGGTTCAGCCTCCAAGAAATGTCAGTCTGATTCTTCAAGCACGAAATCACTAAGAGAGAATCATCTTAAAAACAGATTGGAGAACTCCTAAAATTTTGGGCCATATTATGGGTTTCCCATGCAGCACATGATTCAGCAACATTAATTATTGCATAGTCTATGGACTATGGAGTATGCTTTGACATCTAAAACTTTCCCAGGAAAATTTCTAGCAATCAAAGCTGATTATGGCTTGTGCCTATCTTTCATCTTGAGAAAGAAAGAAAGAAAAAAGAACGTGAAAATATATGGAACACAATGTGCATGTGGCAGTTTTGGATTGGACCCCGTCCGGTCCAAAATCAATTTGGAGGGATTGGACGGATCAACAACACATGTTGGATTAAACTAATCTGGTCCAAAATATTTATTAGATTGGATTGGACCTGATCCGTCCTTAACAAATTTATATTGGATTGGGTTGGATTAAGGCAATATCTGGTCTATTGATATAAGATAAGAATTAATGTGTCAATGGACTGGATTTGGGTTG